AATGATGATATACATTCTGCCCGTAAGTGACCTAGTGAGTTATCACCTACACGAACAATTACATGGCAGTCACAGTCAGCTATGAAGCAGGGCTCCAGCCGCGGGTCGTCCTGGTAGTCGGACTTTATCTTCTTAAATGGCTGCGTTACTAGCACGCTGATTCGGGTTTCAGGAGAGCTCTGAATGACTACGGTGAAAAAGTGGAAGGCACGGAACAGTTCTTGGTATAAGCCAATGTGAACATCGTCTGTCATGCCTTTGCCTTCAAGATCGAGTAGACCTGGCTCCGTGATGTCCAGCATAGCTTTTGCTTTCTCCTGAAGAGGAAACATGGGACCAACTCGTGACCCGCAGGTGCTTCCCGAGTAGCCTGGAGCGCAGGCGCATTTACAGGCCTTTGTCAGGTATCCGAAGTTTTTGCAACTTGGAGCTCCTTTTCCGTTTTTCTCGCACTCATTTTTCCATTTCTTCGGACAGTTGTATGCCGTGTTCATGGTGTAGTAGTCATAATGTGATTGGAGGAGACCACCTGGTCGTGTGTAATCGAACATGTACTGGTAATGAGGATTTTTGTGTATGTAAATTGCTCGGGAATCCGTGCCCGCCAAGTCGGATGTGCCATACTGCATGATAGACATTGCATCATAGGGCTTAGGGATATCCAGCACTTGGTCGGGGCTGCATTTATTCCCTTGGAACCAAAGATGCTTTAAATGATGCTCATTTATATGCATGGGATCAAAATCAGTATTGCTGAACAAGACGTGTATGTAATCATCTCTGTCGGACCTCGCCATTTCATGGTCTATCCCAAGAGCATGAGCGAGTTCGTGGGCACCCGCCATCATATCACACCCCTCGAAATGTATGGATACCTTTTGGGAATATCCACCATTTTTGGGGTCATACTTCCGACCCATTAAGGAATGACATTCATTATCAAAATCCCCTACGCATAAGACGCCGTGGCCCAGGTCTGTCTTCAAGTTGCATTTGTTTGGTTTTAACTTTATCACCCTAATGCATGTGGTATCAACCCAGCCTTTCACTGAAGCTTCAAATATCGTTTTGTTCGCCTTCGTCTCTGTGTCGTAATAATACCACACTATTGCGTTTCCCTTCTTGTCCAACCAGCGGCTGTTTTTTAGCACGTTTCTGCGTGCGCCGAAAGCGTTTAGCTCAGGAAGCACATCGGATGGGAAATAGACCTTATCCTGAATGCTTCCTAGCGGCCATTCGTCACCGTTTTCCAATACTGCATAGCCATGCATTTTGAGCATGCCTGCAATTTGGCTGTTAGTCCAATTTCTTTGCGGAATACTGATGGCTTTTTGATGTAGCGCTGTCCTGCGACTGCGATGAGAACTTCCTCTTATCTTCTGATTAGCACACTGAGATGACTTGGAAGCTGGTTGGTGATCTTGAAAGGATTGTCGATCCATAGCTCGGCTGCACTGAACAGTTGAGATCATGCTTAAGAGCAACAAATACCACATAATCGCAATTTTAATGGTCAGGGAAAATCGTCACACTCAGGAAATACTTGCAAAACATACGTAAGACACGATAAGATGGGACTGGATTATCTGTGTGCACATGTTTTTGGTGCACATTTCATCATTACAGTTATTGCGTTTTGTTTACAGTCACAAAATATGTATTAGCTTTTGCGACTTCATTTACCTTGTGCAAGTGAGGTTACCACTGAAGCGAGCTGTTTCCCGAATCGCGTGCTATTTAACCGAAACATCTTGCGCAAGGCTTGGTAAATATCGATGTCAGACCATACGGCATTAGCATGATCTTGCTTTCAAAGGTTAGATATCAAGTTGGCCGAAAAATGCACTCCGAACGCAACACCTGTGCAACAACTGCTATGACTTAAACCATCATCCAATACGGTACATCTGGTATCAGCGATTGCACTATTTGTCGCATGGAGGCTCTTTAGTACGAGATGAAGATCATTTAAGGGCGTACGTATAACCCTGTACAATTTTGCGTAGTGGCATGAAGGAGTAAGTTATAAAATTTAAAATAAATCAAGAAAAAAATATTGAACAAATTAAAAATAAATTCGCATTCGCACATTCGCACGCAATAGCTGAGGGGGGACAGAAACGCGTGACGTCCCTTTTCTCAGCAGTCCACGGTACGACCATAGTGCAAAGATAGCTTGAGGATAGAGTTAATCAAAAGTGTATCCCATTTTTGCAAGCAAGCTGAAGGCTTTGCTCATGAGATGGAGACTTAAAGCACATTTTGTTCAATGCAGTCCGCCCAAGGCCAGATGAAAGAGCTCCACGATCGAGAATCGGACCTTCCGGCTCCTGATGCTTGCGTGATGTTGCTGCCTGCGAGAAGAACTAAGCGCGACATTTTGGGCAGCGTGATTCTGGGCAGCGTGAGCCCTCCACGTCGACACCACGTCCCCCCCCCCCCCTACAGGTGCAACTATCACCATGACGCTTTCGTCCGCACCAGAGGGCGCCTCCGCAGATCTTGCGGCGCGGGAGTGGTGCAGCACTGCCCGTGGCCGGCACAGCACGCTGTGGCAGCAGACTCCCACGGTGCGGATCATCACATCATTCAGCACGTATTACCAACTCCTCTGTAAATGTTGTCACTTCGCTGCAGCTATAGAGCCGTTATTTTTGCCCAGCTATAGCCCTGCCCCGTGCGGTAAGGCAGAGTCGCGATCCGGACTTGGTGCCAGTCGGGGCAGGTATATTTGAGATGTCGGCGATCCAGACCTGGTGCCAGTCGGAGCAGGTGTATTGGATACGTCGGCGATCCAGACCTGCGGCCAGGCGGAGCACGTGTATTGGAGACGTTGGCGATCCAGACCTGGGGCCAGGCGGAGCACGTGTATTGGAGACGTTGGCGATCCGGACCTGGTGCCAGTCGGGGCAGGTATATTTGAGATGTCGGCGATCCAGACCTGGTGCCAGTCGGAGCAGGTGTATTGGAGACGTCGGCGATCCAGACCTGGGGCCAGGCGGAGCACGTGTATTGGAGACGTCGGCGATCCAGACCTGGGGCCAGGCGGAGCACGTGTATTAGAGACGTTGGCGCGAACATTTTAGCGTGCAGTAAAACAGTCCCTAATTGAACGTGAGGCGTACTATCGCTCTGTAATTCAGTTGGTCAATGATACAGGACATTAAAGATGCTTCGTAAAAGTCAGCCGTTTCTTAAATGAAAAGAGCAAGCGGCTATTTTGAACGTTACGTGCCGTACTTGTGCTGAGACAATCCATATTTATCAGCCACGATTGTTTGGTGCATTTAAAAATGATAATCCAAATGACCTGCTACCAACTAGATATGCACGCAGATTATTTGCTCAGATTTTCGTCTGTTGGACATTGGGATCAAAGCAGAATGGTTGCTCAACACAAAAAGCTTGTTTTCCAGATCACCTCGGTGGAATAACTTATTTATGCAGAGTTTTTCGTATATTCTTTTGGCTTCGCGCACATCAACGACTAGGTTACTTGACTTAAATCAGATCCCTACTGACAAATTTGTCATTGTTCCAGTATCTTAGTTACTCGATTTCACATGCTTGAACGAAATGAAATGAAAGCCGAAGTCTTCATGTTCCTATGACCCTAGGGTGGTCTAAAAGGGGATATAGACGCACTGTGACATGGTCCGATTTTTCTATACACTCAGTTAATCATTTAGGTGGCATCATGGTATCAGAAAAATATATGATGCAGTTAATGACGAGGGTCCCTACCATTTCCCCATATCCAGCGGTGGCATTATGTTTCACAGTATTATGGTTAAGCAATCGCCTCCTCTATCAGGTGTGTACGATGATATCTTGATACGACATGGTTTAGTGCGGGGTAGGAAATACAATATCTAGATTTAAACGATTTTGCTCCTAATTTGCTGCCAAGTCATGAATTAATCAGTGAGTGGACCAATAGCTCGAGCTGTCTGACCGTCGTGGCTTGAAGCTCGACAGCGCCGGCAATGCACTGTGAGGGAACCCCATTGTCAAAAGCGAAAATAGCGCTGGGACCCTGCAGTACTAGCGCCGGATTATTGCATGAGTTAGAGCAGGAGCAAGAGTGCGGTAGACAATGGGTCAAGCATTTCATGACTTCCCACCCGTGACTGAGTTCAAAAGGAAACAACTGTGGGCACTTAAAGTCCTCCGGCGAATCCGGTACCATTATTTTCCCTGTTAGGTATCGTGGTCGCGATAGCGAGCGGAATTGGAGATTGAAGAATTCAGTGGAAGCACTGAGGGATACATAATTTACTTGATGTTTTACCTATCATCAGAAACCAACGGTAAACCGTGAGGATAAAATGCATATGCAGAACAATGTTGTACATTTGCTACGAACATCTCACTTGTCACATAGAATTGATCCAGTAGCATGGCAGATATTTCACCCTAACGCCCGAGCACGTGTTAAGTTTAATTATAGGCATTCGCTCATGTCACCAAACCTTAAAACAAAGTGACCGAAATCCAGCGAAAAACAAATGGGGAAGGGGATGTACTGCCATTTTTCCTTCCCCCACAAACTGCGTATTCATGTTTGTGCTTTTGGGCACACATTACTTACATTCGTCAGTTCTCATTTTCCGGAAAGCTTTTAAAGTAAGCTAAACTTTCACATATTGCCAAGCTTTCTGTGTTTTTTTCCCGCCCTTCCTGTGTGCCGCGTCTAAAAAAAACAATGCATCGTTCCAATACGTTTATGCATTTTCCACCTCTGCACCAAAATATGTGCCAGGTGGACGAGTACAACGGTAGCTCGTGTAATGATCGAGCACAAATAATCGAGATGACGTTGAAGATGCGTGGTGCAAACGCATAGCACAGTCACAGTACTTACTGCACGCTTTAGTAATCACAAACACTAGTCGCAATAGCCTGCAGATGAGGGAGCGCCATACGACGAAGCTGGCGCTCTAGACTCTCCAGAATAACTTCCAGCTGGCACTCTTCCAGCACCGTAGCTCATTAACACGCTAGGGCGCTAAAGCCAGAAGACACGTTAGGGGCGCTATAGCCAGAGGAAGCGCTAGGGGCACTATAGCCAGAAGACATCTTAGGCGAGCTGTAGCCAGACGAAACACTAAGAGCATTATACCCAGATGACGCGCTAGGCGCACCATAAACAGATGAGACACTGGAAGCATTATATCCAGCGGACGCGCTAGGCGTTCCATAATCAGACGAAACACTGGAAGCGTTAGGTCCCGGAGACGCACTAGGCACACCATAACCAGACGAAACACTGGGAGCGTTATTTCCAGAGGACGCGCGAAGCGCACCATACCCAGACGAAACACTGTGAGCGTTATTTCCAGAGGACGCGCTAGGCGCACCATACCCAGACGAAACGTTGGGAGCATTGTAGCCCGATGACACACTGGGTGCGCTATAGCGTGAGAACACAATAGGAGTTTTATCGCCAACCCCTAGTCCATGGCTGCCACCACGGAGTCCGGTTGACGCGGCTCCGTGTCAGGATGATGCGGATCTGTGTCCGGATGGCACGGATTTGTGCCCGGACGATACGGATTTGTGTCCCGGACCGTGACCGCCACCATCAGCTAGACAGAGTCCGGCCACCAGAAATGTTGCGAAGACCTGCAACAACACCATTTGTTGAGGCAACAGACATTAAGAATGCGTTGCCAATTACGCTCGCGTTTTTGTCCACCCAGGCACATTGCTTGCTATACAGATTAGCAAGGTTTAACGAATGAACCTGCCACTATGGGCTCATAGCAAACCGTGTAACTGTTTCCGGAAGCAACAAGAAGACTGGTACCGTGGTGCTTTTCAAGACTTAGCTCGATTTAGCTCATCAACAAACGCCAGATACGACATAAGTAACATGTCCAGGAGTCAGAAGCTAACCAAGGTCAGCGTAACCAGGCAGGACATATGAGCCCTTTATTGTGATCAGCTCACCTTGGCAATAATCATGATGCTGGGGCGAGCTCTGGAGAGGTGGTGTGACTCTGTGGGATCGGAAATCTCTAATGCTTCTACTAGCATTAGAGACTTTACTGGCAAACTAATGCTAAACGTCTCAGCCGCGTTGATTACTTTAAGTAACACCACGGATGGAGCAGTCGGGCTGAATGTAACTTAAGGCTTCCTGATGCACCTTTCGTGCACGACTTTACCTTGCGTTCTATACATTACAACGGAATCCTGAGAATATATTCTTAGATTTTTACTCCACGGCGAACCTGACGACCTGTTTGAGAGTTAGTGTTGTACTACGACTGTGATAAGGAACAAGGTTATTATGAGTCCGGTTCGGAAGGCAATGTCCTGAGTACAGTGCTGGGTCCGCGTAACGTTCCAAGTATGCACAAGAATATGCCGATAGGCTGGTGATGTTGGCATCGAATTATCCCCGCTTGAGATGCCTCTGGAATTGTTCCCTACGCACGGCCACACCCCAACAGCTACCAGGAAATTTCAGAAGGTCCGAAAGGGGACATCTGACCGACGGTAAATGCAGCATCGTCCGCTTCTTTCCATAGGGTAAGCAGAACTATTTTGCATATCCAACATCGGCTTTGTGTCACAGAGCTGAACTCTCACCTCCACACCAGCCATCCCTCTGACCCCCACCGCCCCCTTATCCTTGCGGCACTGGAGAAGCTAGACGGTTGCAAAGTTTTTGAGGCAATTGGTTCCGGCTGGGGCTCCAGCCGTGGCTCACATGTCTTAACCCCCGCTCAGGTGGAGCAAATTTCAAGCCCCGAAGGTTTTTCAGAATAATTTCCGAACAGAGCTACTTAGCCATGCAAAACTTGGTTTGGCTATAAGCAATTGAATCACAAGCATTCTGCTTAAAAGAGGCACGCCCCGCACGCTCGCTTACCTTTGGCAGGTCAAAACCAGACGATCCACGGTTGTGAGCGAAGACAGCTTTCAGGGGATCGTTGAATCTGGCGGAAAAGCGGAGTGCCAGACGGAGTCATGCTTGTTTGTAATGGTTTCTTAGACAATTGTACATCTAAATTTGGAATTATAACTAATTCCACTGATCTTAAGTACAGTATAAAGGTCCAATCAAGGTCAAAAGCAAGCCGCTTTCTTACTGGAAAACTTGTTTTTCGTGGTGGTTTTTGACACACTCATTTAAAATTGCTTGATGGCAGGGATGTCAACTGACATCTTATTTTGAATTTACGCAGGTCACGGGAGGCCATTGGCCTAAAAGGAGCCCGATCAACCTTTCACTTTGGGTAACGCGTCGTTTAGAGAAGTTCTTGACCCTGATTTCCAAATAGAAAGTCTAAATAATCTCGAGCATTTTGATCCCCTTGACGTTCTGAAGGCCAATCAAGGTCATTGACCTTATAGAAAGACTAATAATCTATTGCTCGGAAAACATATTTATGCTAAAGGTGGTTGCATGACGATGTCTGAGAGAGCTTCGAACCTGATCCGGACATCGACTTTATTTGATCTTATTTGATCCAAAAGTCACGACCTAGGATTCTGAACATTTGACACAAATGAGCTTACACCGAGGACTACATATTCAATGCAGGCTCTTAGTTTTTGAGATCTCAGAGGGAGAGACATCAAATTGATCTCCCCATTCCTACCCGGACATGTCGCATTCAGCCGGCCACCCCCCGGCCGCGTGTTAAAGGAAGCGTTCCGCGCATCTACCGATGAAACTGGCTGGCTGCAGACGTGCAAGCGTCAGCTGTCACAAACAACACGTCTTTGAGTGTTATCTTGACCTCCTGTTTGACATGAGGATGAACGGATGTTGTCGTGTGGTGTCCCGCTTTTGCTTTGCGACGTGTGATTATTGTATGCACATTGAGGTTGAACCTTGAGGTCATGTGCATCCGAAATGAGGAATTCAGTGCCCCTTCACCATGAATTGTTGGCGCCCTCCTGGTCGAAGGGCATGGTCTCATGCGTCCCTCTGCATCCGCCACTGAGGGAGAAGGGGCACGGGCCATGCCCCCACCCCTGGGCCTCGAAGGGGTCCATGCAATAGGAGGGGCAATGGCAAGCCGGACGGAAGCAGATTTTTAACATAAAAAATAACAACATTGGACGTCTTTGGGCGTTCAAGCCATCTAGAACTATCGCAAGCGAAAGCGAATGACCTATGAGCATGTAATAATATTTTCTGGTTGAGACGATGGTGAAAAGGATGGTCTTAAGGCTCATACGCCGTCCAGAGGCACTGCACTGTTGCCGGGGCCTATGTGCCTCCTTCCCGAGTCAATGCGGTCGCTAAAGAGCCTTCCATGTTGCTCTTGATGTCTGTATTTACTCGGAGGACCCCACGCTGTTCCCGGCGTCCTATATGCTAATCTGACGGAATACTCTTGATCAATCACGAGTCCTCCACGAATTCGTCTCATTTCTGAAAGACTCTACGGTATTGTTGAGGGACCCATTTCTTGATAAAACAAATCACCCATTTCACCAAACTTCAACATAAGGTGGCCAAAATCCGGCCAGCGACAAGTGGAGAATGAAATATACTGCCATTTCTTCTTTCACCCAAAACTTTGTGTTCATGTTTATGCTCCTGCGAACGCACTCCTTTCGTTCGTCAGTTCTCATATTCCAGAAGGTTTCCGTTAAAGTAAGCTAAGCTTTCATAAATCACCAACGATGCTGTGTTTTTCTTCATGCCCTTCTTGTATGCGGCATCTCAAAAACATATCCGTGCTTTTAATACGCTTATGCATTTGCCTCCTCTGCACCAAAATGTGCCAAGTGCATCCGAACACCGGCAGCTCGCAGATAGTCAGCACAAGTAATCGAGATGACGCTAAAGGTGCATGGTGCAAATGCATAGCACAATCACAGTACTTACTGCACGCTTTAGTAATCACAAACACTAGTCGCTATAGCCTGCAGATGAGGGACCGCCATACGACGAAGCTGGCGCCCTGGACTCCCCAGGATAACCTCCAGCTGGCACTCTTCCAGCACCGTAGCTCATTAACATGCTAGGGGCGCCATGGCCAGAAGACACGTTAGGGGCGTTATAGCCAGAGGAAGCGCTACGAGCGCTATAGTCAGAGCCCAGAAGATACCCTAGGCGAGTTGTAGCCAGACGAAACACTGAGAGCATTATATCCAGATGACGCGCTAGGCGCACCACACCCAGATGAAACACCGGGAGCATTATAACCAGAAGACGCGCTAGGCGCGCCATACCCACACGAAACACTGGGGGAATTATATCCAGGTGACGCCCTAGGCGCACCATACCCTGGTGAAACATTGGGAGCATGGTATCCAGGTGACGCGCTAGGCGCATCATACCCAGACGAAACGCTGGGAGCATTCTATCCAGAGGACGCGCTAGGCGCACCATAACCAGACCAAACGCTGAGAGCATTATATCCAGCGGACGTCCTAGGCGCACCATACCCTGGTGAAACATTGGGAGCATGGTATCCAGCGGATGCGCTAGGCGCACCATAACCAGACGAAACACTGGGAGCGTTATATCCAGCGGACGCCCTAGGCGCACCATACCCTGGTGAAACATTGGGAGCATGGTATCCAGGTGACGCACTAGGCGCACCATACTCAGACGAAACACTGGGAGCGTTATTTCCAACGGACGCGGTAGGCGCACCATACCCAGACGAAACGCTGGGAGCATTATATCCAGCGGACGCGCTACGCGCACCATAACCAGACGAAACACTGGGAGCGTTATATCCAGCAGACGCGCTAGGCGCGCCATAACCAGACGAAACACTGGGAGCATTATATCCAGCGGACGCCCTAGGCGCACCATACCCTGGTGAAACATTGGGAGCACGGTATCCAGGTGAAGCACTAGGCGCATCATACCCAGACGAAACGCTGGGAGCATTATATCCAGCGGACGCGCTAGGCGCACCATAACCAGACGAAACACTGGGAGCGTTATATCCAGCAGACGCGCTAGGCGCACCATATCCAGACGAAACACTGGGAGCGTTACATCCAGAGGACGCGCTAGGCGCACCATATCCAGACGAAACACTGGGAGCTTTGTAGCCCGATGATACACTGGGTGCGTTATAGCCTGAGTACACAATAGGAGCGTTGTTGCCAATCCCTAGTCCATGGCTGCCCCCACGGAGTCCGGATGACACGGATCGGTGTCCGGAGAAGGTCGCTCCGTGTCCGGGTGACACGACCTTATGACCGGATGGCACAGTTTGGTGTCCAGACAACACAGATCTGTGTCCAGAGGAGGATGCTCCGTGTCCAGAGAGGGACGCTCCGTGTCCGGATGACACGGATCTGTGTCCGGATGGCACGAATTTGTGCCCGGACGATACGAGTTTGTGTCCCGGATCGTGACCGCCACCATCAGCTAGACAGAGTCCGGCCACTAGAAGCGTCGCGAAGACCTGCAACAACACCATTTGTTGAGGCATTGGACATTAAGAATGCGTTGCCAATTACGCTCGCGTTTTTGTCCACCCAGGCACATTACTTGCTATACAGATTAGCAAGCTTTAACAAATGAACCTGCCACTATGGGCTCATAGCAAACCGTGTAACTGTTTCCGGACGCAACAAGAAGGCTGGACCAGTCTTCTGCCAAATAATTCGGATGCGGGGGGAGGGGGGGGGGGGAATTTGACCCGCCCAAAAAAACACGGCACCATGTGCCGTGGTGTTTTTCCAAATTCAGTTCACCAAAAAACTCGAGATATGACATAAGTAACAAGCCCAGGAGTCAAAAGCTAACCAAGTTCAGCGAAACCACTCATTACACATAAGCCCTTTATGGTGATAAGCTCACTTTGGCAGTTATCATGCTGCTGGAGCGAGCTCTGCTGAGATAGTGCGTCTCTGTGGGACCTGAGGTCTCTTTTATACCGGTATTCCAGTATACTGGGTCGGAATTACCTTGGGGTGTGGTTCAGCTTATTGGCGGCTCGTGACGTGGCGGACCGTTTGTGAAAGGGGTCAACTCTGGCCAGTCGTTCTGTACCGGACCAGCAAACTAATGTTAGCACGCGCTCAGGTGGCCGGCTAGATACCCTTCGCTCGGGTGGGGGTGGGGTGGGGGGGGGTAATTTGACCACCCTGAGATCTCGAGAACTGAGAAAGCTACAGAGACCAGATTTACAGGGTGTGTTGACCTGTACGTGAACTTACTTGGGTCAAAGTTTTCAGGTTTCTAGGTCAAGACCTTCAGGTAAAATAAGGTCAAACAAATATCAAATTCCAGGTTGGTCTTTGAGGTACCCCAGAACCTAGAAGACTGTTTCTAAGCAAAAGGTCGCAAGCTCATTTGAGGTCAGTGACCTTGTTTGACCTTTTGGAGGTCATGGTGACCAAAATAATACAATACTGCTCTGAGTTTTGCATTTGAAGAAGCGACAAAGATTACAGTAGGCAGTATGTTTCTAGAAACAAAGTGTCGACCTGGATCATCTTAGGTCAACGACCTTTTCTCATTTCTAAGAAGTCAGTGGGAGATGTATGATGCGGTTCCCGCTATCGATAATTGCAAAATGAGAACCAAAAAGTATCCCATACAGTTTGCCCTAAAGTAATAAAACAGGTTAGTTTTGACCTTGGTGTGACCTTAATACCTGACCTTAGGTCAACTTAATTTGCCGATTCAATATTTATGTTGCTTAGGAAAGCAGCTCAGAGATGTATGGCTTCGTCAACCACTCCGTTGCTGCATCAGATTGAACGATTCCCTACAAATTACCTCCGCTGAACCCAAGGGCTGATTTTTGACCTGCCATAGGTCAGTGACATTACTAGGTACATCTAAATTTTTACATCAAACGATCCGCTACTCAACTGTCTACAGCTATGCAAAATTTGGCGTGGCTTCGCCCCGCCGTTCCGAAACCATTCTGGAAAAACCTTCGGAGGGTCAAGTTGCCGTCTGCACCCGAGCGCGTGATAAGCGTTTCATCCGCATCCATTACTCTAAGTAACACCAAGGGTTAAGTATTCCGGTTGAATATAATTTAAGGCTTCCTGATGCACGTTTTCGTGCACGGCTGTAAGCTTGGTGTTGCGTTCTATGACTTACATTAGAATCCTATTAAATACTTCTTCACAAAGAACTTCATGAACTGTTTAAGTGAGATCGAGTTGTACTACGGCTGCGATAACAAAAAAAAGGTTATTGTTGTATCGTATCCTCGTGTAGCATCGCAGTTGTAGTTCATGGGCGCACCGCGAGTGGCGCCACTGTCGGGCGTTGCGAGACAGTCGGCCCGGAGCCACCGTGCCGCGCATTGGTTGTTCCTACTTTGTAAACTGAACTCACGTTAACGTTAATACACAGTTTGGAGACACAACAGTTATTGTGAGTTCAGCTCCGAATGCAGTGTTCTGATTGCAATACTATGTCCCCGCAACTTTCCACGTATGCACAGGAATATGCCGATAAGTTGTTAATCTTGGCATTAAATAGGATCAATTGACATGCCGCTGGAATTATTTCCTATGCACGGCCGCAACGCAAGAGCCACCAGGACATTTCAGAAAAACCCAAAAGAGGACATCTGACCGGCGGAAAATGCAGCATTATTTTCTTTCGGTGGCGCAAGCGGAAACTAAGCATACCCAACATAAGCCTTGTGTCACATAGCTGAACTCTGACCTCCACACCAGCCAACCCTCTTGCCAATGCCAATTATCCTTGCGGCACTGGAGAAGCTAGACGGTTGCAAAGTTTCTGAAGCAATTGGTTCCGACTGCGGCTCCAGCCGTGGCTCGCATGTCTTAACCCGCGCCCGGGTAGCCGGCTAGATACCCTTCGCTCGGCTGGAGTGTCAATTTGACCCTCCCTGAGACCTCTGGATTTAAGAAAGCTGGAGACACCAAATTTACAGCGTGTGTTGACCTGTACGTGAATTCACTCATGTCAAATTTGAGCTTCCTAGGACATGACGTTTAGGTCAAATAAGGTCAATCAAGGTCAAACTCCAGGTTGGCCCCCAAAGTGCGCCCAAAACCTAGGCAACTGTTTCTAAGCAAAATGTCACAAACACATTTTAGGTCGGTGACCTTGTTTGACTATTTCAAGGTCATGATGACCAAAATCATGCAAGACTGCTCTGAGTTTTGCATTTGAATGAGCGACAAAGATTACGCTAGGCAGTATGTTCCTGAAACAAAATGTTGACCCGGGTCATATTAGGTCAATGACCTGTTCTGGCCTCTAAAAAGTCGATGGAATATGTATAATGCGGTTCCTGCTCTGAACAAATTCGAAATGAGCACCAGAAGCTATCCCATACAGCAAGCCCTAGAGTAATAGATCAGATTGGTTTTGACCTTGGTCTGGCCTTCATGCTTGACCTTAGGTCAACATAATTTGCTCATCCATTATTTGTGGTGCCTAAGAAAGCATCTCAGAGATGTATGGCTTCGTCAAGCACTACGTTGTTGTAATAGATTAAACGATTCTCTAGAACTTGCCTTAGCTTAAACCATGGTCTGACTTTGACCTGCCTTAGGTCGGCGACCTTACAAGGCACATCTAAATTGTTCTATGTCCCACGATCCGCTATTCAGTTGTTTACAGCTATGCAAAAGTTGACGCGGTTACGCCGCGCCGTTCGGAAACCATTCTGATGATGATGATTGGGGTTTTAGGGCACGTCGACTTCTAGGGTCATTTTGCGCCCATAACAGCTAAGTGTTTACCGTGGTGTGTAAATGGCTGTGAATCCTACGTTTCTCAAAAATGAAAACAGCTGTCCGGTGCCAAGCATGCGAGAATCATCACCAATAAGGTCTGAAAATGTAAGACCTGACGCATCTCGTCCGAAGTAAAGTGCCCGCTCTTCTCTCAACTGTGGGCAAGAGTGAATAACGTGCCGAGCCGTAAGTGGCGCATCGCAGCGAGGACATTTAGGGCGTTCTTCACTGCACAAAAGGTAGCTGTGTGTTGCGTGCGTGTGGCCAATTCGTAATCTGCTGAGAGTTAATTCTTCGCGTCTCAACTTACGTGAGATTGAAGACCACGGACCCAGTTGTGGCTTGATCATCTTTAACTTATTGTTTACAATGACGTCCGAGCAGCGTTGTCATTTCCCCTTCACAAAGGTCACGATTGCAGGGTAAAAGTCCCTTGCCGGCAAGGATAAAGAACGGGTGCAAGGTGCACGCGCTGCCCGTTTTGCGGCCGCGTCAGCACGCTCGTTACCTGCGATACCCACATGACTCGGTATCCAACATAAGACGACAGTTTTACCAGCAAGATCCAGCGCTCTCAGGCGAACTAAAATATCCTGTATAATGGGACAAGGTGGGTTAAAGGTTGTCAGAGCCAACAGGCTGCTCAAAGAATCGGATAAGA